TGAAGTGCCAGCAGTACAGGTAACCCCGAGGCTGATGCCATGTCACATAGCATGGGTCCTCCAGCACACATTGCCCGTTCTTTCTGTTTGGATTTGGGCTCAGACTGCAGAGTGTGGGGCACTGAGCCTCCCTGGGTCAGGAATACATCACAGGATTACAGCAAAAACTTGCTTGGTAGTCAAATTCATCGTTAATCTGTATTGAGGGAAAAAAACCAACAATCAGAATCACAGAAACACCAAGGTTGGGAAAGATCTACAAGATGATCCTCATGTAGTAGGGGATAATTCTGGAGTTCTTCACATTTTGGCTGCCTCTTTTTTCGCGTATCTCCTCAATGCTTTTGAAAACAGTAATGAAAAGCTGTTTTAATTTGCAGAAGCAAACAACTTTATGTTCTTAATGGGGACTTCAAAGGCTTGCAGAGCCCCTGTGCATGGGGCAGGGGCTCTGCAGCAGCAGTTTGAAGCTGGTTTTTATAACTCCAAATTGCTTCCCCAGTAAGTGAGAGCTTCCTAGTTTTCATTAACAGCATCAACAAAAAGTAAAACCCGTTGAAGGTATCATTTTGCACCTTGTACAGAAAAACCAGTTGGGTAAAATGTTCTCAGGGAGAGGTGACTTTTTCTTCCCCTTTTTCTGAAGTAAATTTTGAGTTGTTTTCTGAGGGGCAAAAAGCCAACTGGCTCTGTGTGATGGTGTGTGCACCCAGTGCAGTGCAAAGGGCTCTCGAGGTGAAGAACAACCCGTAGGTATTTGTCTTCTGAACAAACTGCTGCCCCTGCTCTTCTTCTCAGGCACCTCACATTGGTCAACTCACATTTTCCATCTTTAAGTCAAAGCTCTGTGGCCGTGCAGCAATTTGCTTCTGTCTTCTGGATAGGTGAGGAAAACTCCCATGATTATTGAGTAACAGGGATTAGCGTTTTTACTGCACAAAAGATACATTAACTGGAAAGAGATTAGATTTTTATCCCAATTATTTTCGTAAAGCTACTGTTTTTCTTATTTGAGGGATTTGCTTTGAAAGAGAATAAACTGTAGATAATGATAATGGGATGTTTGCATGGAGCTGATAAGTAGCAGTTACGTTTGTGCCTCTTTCCAAGTTTCTTAAACCTAATTCAAGAAAGGATATATATTTTAAAAAGCTTTTACAAAGGAGGTCATAACTTTTTTGAGCTTTTGTGGGGAAAGTATTTGTTTTTCATTTTATTGTTCTGAAGAGTTGAGTAATTGTGCATCACATTTTGGAGGCTGTGGATGCCCCAATCCTGCAGGCATCCAAGGCCAGGCTGGATGTGGCTCTGGGCAGCCTGGGCTGCTGGTTGGTGACCTGCACACAGCAGGGGTTGGAACTGATGAGCGTTGGGCTCCTTTGCAACCCAGGCCATTCTAGGATTCTATGAAAGAAGTTGTTTGATTGTTAGTTACAAAGTCAAAACATTTCCTTAATCAGAATTGCAGAGAAGCTCCCAAGACCTGCATTTCTTCCCAGTGCTTTTGCATGTGAAAATGGCCACGTGCTCCTGGCACCTTGCAGAACAAACGTGTCATGGCTTCCCAGGTTGCTGTGAATTCTGTTGACAATTTAGTCCTCTTCCACTAAATTCAGTGAGACTGAGCAGACAGCCTCATCCGTGGCATTTCTTGATTTCTGAATGTCACTGGGCTCTGTCAGAGCACGTGGTACTCGCTGTATAGCACACAGCTTGCTCTCAGCAGTGACCTCTAATGCTCTGCTAAAGAGAAGCACGCCGCTTTCACTGCTTTCAATGGGGGTGGGCAGTAGGTGTGGGTGCTCCTGTCAGGAAGAAGACAGACCTTATTGCTTCAGGTGCCAAGCGATGTGCTGGAGCAGCAGTGGCACACTGACAGCCCCAGGCTGGCAGCCCATCGGCCCTCCTTGCCCTCTCGAGGAGCAGTCCTCTCCCTGTAAGTAACTCAGAACAGAAGGGAGGCTTCATGAGAAATCTGAAGGAATAAAATGTAGGTAAGAAAAGTGTAATTACCAAAACTGGGATTAGTTCAGGGAAGGAATTAATAATACTCAAATTAATGAATGGTTTAATTACCATTAGTCCACAGGGCATGAAATTTTACTTCTTTCAATCATATCACAGGTCCTTTAATTCCTTACTGGTGCTTTCTGAATGGATTGCGAAGAACAGTATGAACCCCAGGGGATGTGTAGCAGGCTTTTCCAGCATGATTGCTCATTTCAGTTTTAATTACAGAGGGTAAATAGAGGAGCAGTCCACGGACACGTGCAAAACGCCCTCTCACTGAAAGATGTTCAGCTCCGTGCTCTCCCATGGCCGCACTGCCAGAAGTGGAGCAAGGAGGTGTTTCTGTAGTGGTGTTACTGCACACTGATCCTCCCTAGCAGCACACCTAAGTTCAGGGTCAAGTTCCTTCCTTACTGCTGCATTAATCTGTTCTTGAGTAGAGATGGCTGATCTACCCAAGCAGCGTTCAGTTTGTTTGTTTGTGTCTGAAGAGGGCAGATCCAAGTAACAACCAAATAATCTCAACAATTGACTTTAGTGATCTTGACAACTGTATCTTATCACTGCCTTTGGGGAAGACGGCGTAATTAAATTACTTTTGTTTATCCTTCCCAATTTTCCTTTCTAATTTTTAAAACCAATCTTTTATTGAATAAGAAATTATGGAGCATTTTATGGACTGTGACAATGGAAGAACTTTTGTACAAGCATCCCCCCTATCTTTAACAGTGCTTTTGCTGTTGTAATTGCTATTTTTAGTGCTGTTCTCTCACTGCTCTCTATTTGTACATTTTCTAGCTGTTCTGCTGTGATTGTTCTGGCTTTCTATTAAAATGGAATGTGAGGTTTGTTTTATGCATGTGCCTACAGTGGAGGAGAATAATGCAAAGCTAAGTGCTTTGTAATGCCTATGGGAAGGATGTTTTTCCGAGTAGTTTTTGAAGTACATGTCACTGCTCAATTGTTCATTACCTTCAAATGCCTTCAAAAGCTACAAATAATTTGATATTCCAAGGGCATCTATTTGTATTGTGTCATGCTCTGAAATATGCAGTTGCAAATGTTGCTTCCTCTGTTTGAATACAAAGCGGCAGTGCATCTTGGTAGCTGATTTCATTTTTCTTGTGAAAAGCTTATTCCATGAGCAGTGCTTTTACATCCATCAGCTGCTCTGATCTTGTGTTCTCACGTGAGCTCATGGGATGGTTTCTGGGAGGAAATACAGACTTCATGTGGCCGAATGGGCTGACTGCATGGATTGTGCTGGGGAGTGAGAAGGCTTTGGATCACACAGGAATGGGCAAAGACTCAGCTGAGGTAGAACTGGGAAAAGGGGAAGCACAGGATTAAAAGTTAAATAAAAATCGAAGTTTCAGTTATAAATTAGCTTGAAAATGAATCTATTTCCATATCTCTGTCTTCTATTTTGATATTTTAAGAAGTTTATGTAGACTTTGTTATGCAAGTGCTTTCGCTGCATTAGATGCCTGTAATTAAGACAGCTTCAGTGTTAGATCTCCAACTTTGGCATCTGCTCAAACTAAATTACAAGACTACTTTTGTCCCTGTTTTAAGCTACCCTTAAGTCAGAGCCAGCCAATGGGCAGCTGGGGCACTGCCCCTGTGCTCCTCTCAGCATCTCGAGACCATGGCAACCAGCATTTGTTCTGACAGCATTTGTGTGTCTGTCTCCTTGGCATTGCTGAGTGCCAGTAGAACGTTTGAGTCTTGTTTACCTCCCGGATATCAATGATACAAACAGCACAAAAAGTTCTGGAGAGCCGTGCACAGGGCATTATCAGACCAAGGAAATCCTTTTTTCTTTCTTATGTTACTTTTCACACAAATAGTGCCTGAAGCATCATGAATGATCTGTGTTCACTCGTAGGCAGATCCTCGCAGCTCTGCGTGGGGAACCGTCCAAGAGGAAACTTGTTTCTCTTCAGTTACTGGGTTTCTTGTGTTTGGGAAGCTTCTTTAAATGGGTGAGAAGACAAAGGAAAGCACAGATTGACACCAAATTCTACAGCTCATGCTATTTTTGGAAGATATTTTGCAGAACCTCACTCTCTCTCTCCACTGACATTTTGCATGAATGTATGGTTGCTTTTTCACTGTGAAAGAGGCTCCTGATGTGCTTTGCTTTACTTGGTCTAATTAAGTGCATTCTTTCCATAAGTGTTACAAAACTTTGTAAGTGCTTTACAAAATAGGAGGCAAAGATTTTGTTCATGTTGGCTTTATGGTAATACATTGCAGAACAGCCTGATTTATCTATAACCTGGTTAGTATAACTTCACAATGTCGGTATCTCTTTGAGACGTAGACTGCTTGACATATATAAAATCTGCTTGCTGTTTGTTCATTTCGAAAGTAGTTGTTTAAAACATTCTTTTTTTGCTAAAAAATATTAAAACAGACTTGTGTGAATTATCCCTCACATGAAGGAGAGGTGTGTGTGGGTGATGTGTGCAAGGAAGGTCAGCAGAACCAATGTCTGGTCTAGAAGTTGGGGAACAGGCAGTGGGGAGATTTCCCAGTAGCTTATTCTGCTGCAGTAGAACTAATGGGATTTCTGCTAAGTCCCTTATCTGAGTTCCCACAGCCTGAGATAACACAAGCGAACCCCTTTCCACCCCCCCTTTCCACAGGGGGTGGAAGCATGGAGTGCACTTTAGCTGGAAAATGTGTTCCTTTCTACCTGCAGGATTTGTATAGCAGGTTTTCATTGTTACAGAAAGCAAGAACGGAGGATGGCCTTGGTGTGTTTTGTTCTGTCACCACATAGGGGAACAGACAGTACGTTGAGATTGCTTTTTGTGATCATTCTGGCAAGGTTGTTGCAGAGCAGGCTAAGATCTGAAGAATCAGATTACAATACCTGTCAGAAAAACATACATCTCGAATGGCCTGCTGTATTTGTAATGATTCTGAAGAAATAGGCCCAAACATGTGGATGGTTTCAGAAAACTATCTCCCATTTCTTTCAGTGCCCTGCTTGGAGATGACAACCAAAAGGAAGATTATTGGCCGCTTGGTGCCCTGCCGCTGTTTTCGCGGTGAGGAGGAGATCGTTTCCGTCCTGGATTACTCTCACTGCGGCCTACAGCAGGTGCCAAAGGAGGTCTTCAACTTCGAGCGCACGTTAGAGGAGCTTTATCTGGATGCCAATCAAATCGAAGAGCTACCCAAGGTAACCTGTGCTCTTTGTGTGTTACAGTTGGCAAAGCCGTGTTGTTGAATGTGCGCTGAAGATGTGCTGCAGCTCTGAAACGTGGCTTGCTTGTGGGCTGGTAAATGATAAATATGGCATGGTGCTTTGAGAGACTGCGAGTACACGGCCACGTGGGGCAGGAGGTCTTGTGTTTGGATCATCAGTTGCACTAAAAAAAAAAAAACACAACACACCAAAAAACCCTTGGTGAGGATGAGCTGTTGATCCTTGTGGGAGAAAGGCTAGCGCTGCCTGGGTGACATTTCTACAGCCATAAATGAGGCCCTGAAACCAAATTCTGTAGTGATCCTTCCTGTGTAAAACTTCTTTTACAGATTTTTTTGTCTTCTGTTGATTAATATTTACTGTAAGAAATTAAAAGTTAGTGTAACTTGAATGTTCTGGAAACAAAAGAGGGCAAGGTAGTGGAAAAAAACAATTAATAATAGGTGCTAGCTACGTAATGAAGCATGAAGTAATGTAATCCGTCCCTTAATTGAATTTTTCTCAACAATAATGAAAGATGCTTACAAGTCTTTTAATTAAACATTGTTCCACTGTAATCCATTTTTCATCATCTCCCAATATGTTCCTGACTTACAAAACACAGAGACTTCTATTTCCCAAAGTAGAAAACGTGCTTGTTTCATTACATGGAGTTCCCATATTCAGATACGAAGGTTCATTGCTGAAGATTACTCACTCAATCAAGAAGCTATTTACAGATGATAAGGCAGGGTAGCTACAATCTTCAAGTGTCATGGAAAAAATGGTATAGAGAACTGCCTTATCTCTCCTCCTAAAAAGGATAGCAGAGAACCGGAGATTTTTTTGTCCCCATGAATATAAAGTGGTTTGGGTGCAGATCGTTTCACTATGAATGCAAGTACCTTCAGGACTGCATCTATTTTAATAAAAATATATGGTTAACTTTGTATATTTAAATAATGCTACTGAAAAATCATACTGAAAAAAAAGTGTAGGTTTTAAATTAGCCATCAATTATTAATATATTTGTCTTTGGCCTTGTGAAAGTAGGCATCACCATGGTATTTAGAGAAATGGCAGTGCTGAGTACAAGGCAAATATATCGGGACGTAAGGTGAGGGCTGAGGGTAAAGGGTCCAAAATAATGAAAGTCAAATGAAGGTGACAGTGTCAGTCAGAGCTGAGGTGTGCACTGCACTGTGTTGTGGTATCATCTATTCGTACATGGTATTTGTGAAATGAAACAGCAGATAAATACATACTTTGGGGCAATTTATATGAGTAGGGCTCCATTTTTGCACCTCTTGCTTCATTTCTTTGTCCATAAGTAATAATTTGAAGCAAATACAACGTACTGAAAAGGTCCTTATGATCAGCCTTGAGTGTGGGTAAATGCATCATGTAACACAGTCTTGGTCTTGTGCAGTTATGGGAAGAAAAATGGGAGCATTGGTTGGCTTTTTTAATACCATCTACACCTCTTTGTCCAAAGAGTTTATTAATCATTGCCGTAAGTGGAAATAGTCCAAATTATTTCTTCCTCAAATTTTCTGCTCCAAATAATTTTTGCCACATGTCGAGCTCTGTCCTCTCCTTAAATTTAGCTGTAGGTGACATAAAGTCGTTTCTCCTTAAAATGGCAGTGTGTTTCCTCACACTAATTTGTATTACATGCTGCGAGCGCCTGTGAGCGGGACTTTCCTTTCTCTGGAGATGTGAAGCCCAATAACTGTTTCCAAAAAGAAATCTGTTTCGTCAGTGTTCTATTTTTATTATTTACCAATATTACGTACCTCAGTGACTCAGTGGTCTATTAAAGCTTACTGCCATCAGAACGCTTTTACCATATTTTACAGCCTCATGAAGAAAAGCACAGATAGAGATTCCATTACATCCTTATATACCAGTGTTACCTGTTTCTCTAGAAACCAATACACTTCTTAGCCTTACACAGATAAATCAAACTCATTCTGCCTGTTGTATTTTTGAACTTTGTGCAGCACATTTCTTTTTCTTTTTAGGATTTATGGTATAATTCTGCAATTCTTAGTCTCTATTTCCCCCTGACTTTAGACCAGACTTTTCTTTTCCTTGCCTTTGCCCTCATTGTCACAAGCTGCCACTGCAAATACGAGCCTATTTGCATGAGTCAAGTGAATCAATGGCATGAAAAAGAGAATTGATTTTGATGTAGGTGGAATCCCTGCCAATCAGAAAAGCCCAGATGAGACAAAAACTCCTCCCAGTAACTGTCATCTATAAATAATTATAAACTAAGATCTGTTTTAACTTGTACTGGGCGACATTAATAAAGATAAATCTAATGCATTGGTAAAATGGGTATGAGGAGTTCTTAGTTATAGGCTACAGCATTTCATCGCCTCACGGGAAGTGGGGACATGCAGAATAATGCCCGTTGTTGTCCCTCACACCTTGGCACTGTCAGCACGAGTGGGAGGGAAGCAGAAGCGGTACGTGGGTGCAGGGTGATGGATGGCCTGTGAGAGCTGGAGGCTGCCATGATGGGGTGGCAGGGCTGCTGTGGGGCCTCTCCTCAGCCTCCTCTTCTCTGGGTTGAGCAAACCAAGGGACCTCAGCTGCTCCCAGCACATCTTCCCCTCCAGACCTCTTCTTTGTAGCCTTCCTTCGGACACTCCTTAATAGTTCTGTGTCCTTTGTATGCTGTGGCACCCAAAACTGCACACAGTGCTCAAGGTGAGGCAGCTCAGTGTATTGCGAGGCAAGCTGGAAGCTCCATGCTTCCTTTGTCTTTTGTGGTAATGCTTCAGTGCAACAGCTGGGAGAAGGCACTGGGGTTGCATTTTGCAGCTCTAACAGCATGGAATGGTTTGGTTTGTATGCACGCCAAAGCTCTGCCAGGTCTCTGTGCTGCACATTGCTGTGGGCTGCAGCAGCGGGGCTGGAAATCACAAAAGCAAACCCTGGAGCGTGGTAGTCCCCTTACTTTTCAGTCCTGTCCAACATGCTGTGCTTTAAGAAGAGGTCCTGAAAATGAACAAATGCATTCCTTGTGAGAGGAGCTGTGCAGAGCAAAACTGCCAACACAAAGTGTTCTGAGAGGTGTTTCTCATTGAGAAGGCCCTTCAGGTCTGGTGCCAGGGCTGGTGGCTGCAGCTCAGGCTCAGCTTTGTGAGCAGGCATTATTCATGCCTCCCTCATGTGGTCACCTCTTGGTCTTCTGAGAAGAGATTCACTTGAAGGAACAGCAGGTTTCATTCTTTTTAAAGTGAATATGCACTTTTAGCAGGGAGTTCCATGGTGTTTGGGCATTTCTGCCACTCGCCAGCTGCTCTGGTCGTTCCTTTCATCCATGTGTAAGCTGTGCTGATGTGCTGAGCCGTCTTTAAGAACAGCTTCCCAAATTCTGGCCTTTCAAAATACTTCTGCATTTTGAATTCTTCTGTAGTTTTGTAATATCTGTTGCTTCTATTTATAAAGATGATTCCAAACTGATTTTTCCTGAAACACTCTGAAGTATCTTTTTATGTTACAGCAACTGTTCAACTGCCAGGCGCTACGCAAGCTGAGCATACCAGACAATGACCTCTCCAGTCTGCCAACCACCATTGCTAGCTTAGTTAATCTCAGAGAACTTGATATCAGTAAAAATGGTAAGAGATCAAAAGGACAAGTATCTTAAAGAATTGTGACAAGTAAACGAACAACAAGGAAGCTTAAATTCTAGCAACTGTATTCTAGAAAACATACTCTTTTTTTCTACATTGTGCTCTGTTTTCTTACCTGATGCTTTCAACAGGTGTGGGTGGATATCCACCTCACTTGCTTTTCTCCCAATGAAGTGAATAAATAAAACAGAGGCTTCTCTAGCATAATTCCCCACGATGAGTTGTGACCGATAAGCGTTACAAGCGGAGGAGCAGGGCCTCGTTTTATTGCACTTATGAAGCATTCCCCTTTCCAAAGTAGCTCAGTACTTAGTGGTTGGCTCTTGTGGATCAGGTTTATTAATGTATTTAAGGATATAAGGCTGCAGATCAACAGCTGCCAGGATTGATGTAGCCAGCAATGAATTTGCTGATGTACATTTCCAAAATACTTGTCTATGTGCGTAAAAAACTTTGCGTATCTGAACCTGTGTATTTGCTTTGAAAATTAGGCTTAGGCTCTCTTGAAAAAATTATCAGTGTAAGTCTAGAGATGGGCAAAGAAGAAAAAGGTGGGCATTTAGGAAAGAAATGAAAGGCGCAAATATTGGTACAAATTGTGTCACTCTAACTCTAGAACGCAGAATTTGTACTGCAGGCCACATTGCCTGTTGTGGTCTATTTGTTTACTGCTAAAGTACCTTCTGGACTGTAATACTGAAGTATGTTTATCACTGTTAGATCAGAACTCAGTCAGGATCAAAACAGGTTGAACAGTTTTCACGTGTGCATAACACTACTTTCAATGTTTTCAGGAATTCAAGACTTCCCAGAGAATATTAAGTGCTGTAAATGCTTAACAATTATTGAAGCCAGTGTCAATCCAGTATCTAAGTGAGTATCAGGAGCCTTGTGTTTGTATTACTGTTAGTGCAGAGAATGTATGCAAAGTTAACTGAAATCTGGAGGCCCAATGTCAAGTTTATTTACGGAATTAACGAAAATTGTTTTTCAACTGTTTGAAATCCAAGATGGATGCATCTCTGCAGAGATGTCTGCTCTGGGTGGGAGCACGGCCTGTGTCCCTGTGATAAGGAATGTGTTGGTGCAGCCTGCAGGCTGGTAATGGATGTATTTGGGAGTAAGCTGTGCTGCATCCTCCAGTGCCATAATCTCCAGGTTGGGACTTCAGAAATGCTTACTCCTGCCAAAAACCTGCAGTCACCGAATGTCTTTGTAATCCTGTGATATATGAAATAAAGCGAAGGAAGTGAAGGAATGAAACTTCAGTATCTCAGAGGGGAGGGGGAGGAGCAATATACCTTTGGCTTAAAAGCTTCAACTTGAAAGGGAGAAAAGGCCGACACGACTGGGATGTGCCAGGGAGTTGAATTTCATGGGGTTATAGCAATGTGGAAAAGATGAGAGCAGTCAAAAATATCCATAAAAAGCTGCTCAGTAAATTCTTCTTGATAATTTGGGTAGAAAAAGAGGGTGAGAAAGAAAGTCATCTTTCTCTTTCTAAATATATATTGTTATTATTTCCATAGCAACTTCAGTGTGAGCATTAAGCTTTTAACTGTTTTTTAGGCTGCCAGATGGCTTCACACAACTTCTAAATTTGACCCAGCTCTATCTAAATGATGCCTTTTTGGAGTTTCTCCCAGCTAACTTTGGAAGGTAAGAATTAGTCATCAAAGAGCGTTGCTCTTTCATATGAACCCACTTCAGGTTTTAAAGGACCATTTTAAAACTGTAATTTATTTTTTTTTTTAAACAGCAACAACAAAAATTACAGATTTTTGTCTCTTCAGCCCTATTTTGATGAATTGTTACTGTTAGAGAGAATCTTATGTCAGCAAGAATTCTATGATGAAGTGAAGCACTTTGCTGGTTTAGGGAAAAGGTGGACAGGAATGAGAATTGGAGAAAAGAGGCCTGTCTTAGTCAAATGTGTTATTAAGTTGTGGCAAGTGCAGAAAATAACAGTGTGGTGTAGTGTATGCTACTGAGGACTGAACAGAAAGAAAAACGTGTCGTGAGCCGGAAAGAAAGATAAGGAAGGGCTGAGTGTGGTGGAGCAACAAAAGCAAGAATAGAAAAGCAAGGAGAAGAGAGAAGGTTCAAAAGACAGCAGAGCAGAAAGGATGTTGGGTGGCAGTACAGATAAATGCAGTAGAAGCTGAGCTAAAGCGTGTTACGTAAGCATGAGTCAAAGGCAGAAAACCAAAGACAATTTGATGTGGCCACTGAAGAATGCACCACAACATTCACATCTCTGCTGTGCTGCCAGCAGAAAGGTTGTGCAGCTCTTCTGCCTTCTGATTGCCCAGTGGGACAAATAGCTCAGAAGACAGAGGACTAAAGGAGGAAAAGGTGATGTTACAGAATTCATCCAGTATTAGTTTCTTTCCTGGTCTATCTAGCTACTTGTAAGAGCGTGTCACAGTTCTGTTGGGAATATCACCTCAGCACTCCAACACCAACACCGGTGTGGCATAACTGGTGTTGGAGGTGATGGTACTCAGGCACTGAGAAATAGAAAGTACAGATTTGTTGGCATTTGCTTGCTGAAACTGTCGCTGACCCTGAACTCTATGTGCTGTACTGCAGTAACTTTTAGAAAATGCCCAGTTGAGAAAAGGAGAACTTGTCATTGCTTGCTGTTGTTGAGTGTTTGGAACATCAGAATAAATCTGAAGATCACTTTTGCAGTTCAGAATTCAGACAGCATGTACAAGTGATAAGGAAAGACAAAGGCATGAAATACCCCTGCAATTTATCAGATGTGTAGTTTTTCTGTCCATGGAACAATGATATTCATTATGCTCTTCTGAAGCTCTGCTTGCACTCGTCTACTGATCTTTGGCTCTTAAGAACATCTCCAGCATTCTACATCTCTTAACAGAAAGCACTCACTTTTTTTTTAATCTACAAATGCAGATTTTATCTAGATGAAATGACATTGGTTCCAGCAGTGGTTGTTGTTCTGTCATTACTGTGCTGCTCCTGTCATCCCTTTGGTATCCTGCACTTACAAATCCTTGTCGTGTCTCTGAAACTTCCAACATTAACGTACAGGAATTGCACTGTTTATCACTGAGCACACGAGCTCTGTAACTGTGACTCTTATTGCCCTGCTCCAGATTTTAGTGCTTGCTTTGTCTCTTCTGCTGCAGTAACGTTCAGTTAATCTGTTACAGTCTCATTTAGCCATCTGATCACAGTGGGGAATGGAGCCTACAGGAGCATCGTGTAAACATCTCTGCACTTCTCACTTAGAGGTGTTGCTTTTAGTCCTTGCTAAAGTGCAAGTGTAGGATTTACAATGGTTGTTTTTTTTCTTTTGTTTTTGGTAGGAAAAAGGGAAAGTCATGGGTTTCTAGAATAGCTGGGAAGTCTGAGATTCTGTGAAACAAAATGGATATTGCATTGGACAGAAGTATTCACAGCTTTGCTGTATGGCTTCAGCTTTTCTCGCGGACATGTGCTTACACTTAGGGCACTAATGGGCCTTCACTGTAGAGTAATATCAAAAGGCAATATTAGTGGAGTTGCTGGAACTCATCATAAAGTTCACCAATAAACTTTCTGAACGTTTAAGAACAGTGCTATCCACCTAAAATCTTACACAGTGTGGCTCTGATGTAGCAGCTCTGTTTAGAAATAGCAGTTATGAGTGAGTGATGCGGAATCACCCCATTTCACATGGCCTGAGTAATACTGCTGGTTAGAGTTGCAGTGCTGGGGAATGGTGAAGTGCTGCCGTATAGAGGTTCTAATTTGTGCCAGCACATATGTCCTACTTCTGCATAAAATACAGAAAATGAAATGGAGGTTTGTTCTGTAATGCTGGTCTGTCGATGTGGAGCTGCAGAAGATAAAGCTACAAATGGAAGAAAGAATTGCAAACTGTGTAGCAGCTGCTTTTCATGTTTTCACAGATCCAGAAATATTTGAGAGAAATTAGCTTTTCCTTTGTTTGCCTTGTTGGAATTGTCAATAAAAGTAGTTTATCATTATTCGAGAAAACTGAGGTGTGTCAGAAGTTTTCAGATGAGTTTGGATAAGGACATAAAAAGAAGATGGAGTAAATACAGAGCTATTTGGTTCTGAACGCGTTGTATGTTAAGTTCAATCCCACATTTGCTGGAGGTCTTGTTATTTTGTAGTACACAAACTCGCCTTACTGCAGTGAGCAGCTTCAAACCATTCCAGTGGGTTTCTGAACTGATTCATAAGATGAACTAATTATTTTCTCTTGTATTCCTAGACTTGTCAAATTGAGAATATTGGAGTTAAGGGAAAATCACTTGAAAACTCTTCCAAAGTAAGTGACGACTATTTATGTAACGCTCTTTGACCTGACATTTCCTGCAGTGCAAAATAATTTTACTGGTAGCATTCTGATGATGTTATTTCTGTTCAGATCTATTTTTTTTTCTCTCCTGTTCGCAGACAACGTAGCAAAGATTTTTAGCAAAAAGCAAATGTTGCATGGAAGATGGGTGCTTGTAAACTAGCTGACTACAGCTCAGTACCCCGAATCTGTAGTGTAACATCCTGTAACATTCAAATATGAGATGTAAACAGAATTGGGAAACAAAGTATGAAAAGCCCCGGTCATTGATTCAGTGACAGTCTGTTCTCATGAAGAACTACTGTGAGTCATTGGAAATGTGTGCAGTGTAACCTCATCAGAACAACCTCCAGTAAGGTTTGTGAGGAAGCAAAGTGCGTTTGCTTGTTTATGATACTGTTTGGAAACTCGTGTCATCAGAATGTTGAGAAATGTCCGTCTTACTGTTTATTTTAAACAGTGGTATTTATCTTGGTACTGCCATCATTTGACCAACATTTAAGTGGTATTTTGAAAATGAAGCGGTAAATGAAAGGTGAACATCTACACTTCCCATGCTGCATGCAGGGAGTTCCACCGCGGAAAGCAAGGAATGCACTTCTGAATGCCAACCAGCATTGTGTGCTTTCTATGCAAGGATCTGTACCAATGAAAAAATACCCACGGCTCTGGGAATCATTCCAAATGGAGGATGTATGTCCTCACTGTAGATGAGACTTACAGTGGTGATGGAAGACTCCACTTAGGACACTTTTCTAACACTGCATTGTGTGCTATTTAGCACTCTACTTAGCAATCTCACATTCACTAAAAGCTGATATGCAGGAATTTTCCCTATGTGGGATGTGATGCTTTCACTGCTCCGTTGGGTATTTCCCTAAAGGCCCAGAACGACCCTTTTCAGAGATAAGTCATGTTTTATGTTAAAGGATGTATTTCTGATGCCAGTGGGAAACACTTATTTTGTGTGCAGGCATCCTATTTTCTCTGCTCTGAATTCAGTGTGCATTTTTTGAGAAACAAAGCAGGTCCTTCAGTCCTCACTGATGTGCCAGGAGAGCAGGGCTGTGGCTTTGGGGTCATTCCTGTCTGCAGGCTGTGTGTGCACTGAGGCTTATGGCAGCGGGGCAGGAGTTGTGTCGGCCTTACTAAGAAGGCGGCTCTCCTTTACTTCAGCAGCACAGGTGCCATCCCTGGTGTCCAGGTGCCATCCCTGCAGTGTCTGCAAGCCCCTCCTGGGTGCAGTACCTCTGGGTGCAGCAGCACTGAGCTGGCCATGGCTGAGCTCAGTGACTTCCTGCTGATGGCTCTGGCAGGATGGAGGCTCTGAGTGCTGTAACCAAGGGAGACGTTCCTTGTGGGCGGTCGGTCTCATCTCTGCTGCAGCAGGAGGCTCTGCTGTGCTCTGCTGAGGCAGACTGGAAAGAAGGGCTTCTGCTTGTGCAAACGCTGCCCTTCAAAATGGTGGTAAGGAGGCACAGCTGTATTATGAGAGAGAGGGGAGAAAGAATCCTTGCGAGTGCAGTGCTGGTCTGTGTCCAGGTGTGACGTGAGCGCTGTGCCTACAGCAGAACAACCTCAGTCAGGAAATGCATGTGGCCCTATAAGCTGGAGGGGTTTTACAGCCTGGTGTTGGGGCAGATGGGGCAGGTCTGCAGATGTGTACTGCAGAGCTTTCCTTCTTAACCTGCAGTTTGTTTGGTGCACTGTGAACAGGAGAGCCTACTGATGGTTGGTAGTTTGTTTGGTGCTTCTGCTGAGAGAAGAAATGTGAAAAGGAAGGTGAATGCCTAATTTCAATGTTGTGCTTCTGCTCTTAACTAGCCTGGAAGTGTTCCATCAGACCTTTGGAAGTAGCATCTGCTCAGTGCTGTTACCATGTCAAATGCAACTTAAATCACGTGCAACGAAAAGTTACCAAAAAGCAGACGTCAGTCTGTGCTCTGTGCTGTGCTGTCAGCTGTGTGTGCATGAAGACTTTCTAAGGGAAGCATTTAGCATCTTGGCATAAACAGCAATTAAATGTGCTTTGTGTTTACTGTAGCTCTATTTTTGCCACTCAGTCAACAAGTCAAGGTTGTTGTAAAACGTATCCATGGTAACCAAGTGTCCAAATTTAGGTACAAAATCATCAAAGTAAATACTAATAACTGCTGGTTGGAAGGAAGCTCCCTCACCAGAGCAGGGATCTCCAAAGTGGTGTTCTGTAATCCTAGAATGGCCTGGGTTGCAAAGGAGCACAACGCTCATCAGTTCCAACCCCCTGCTGTGTGCAGGTCGCCAACCAGCAGCCCAGGCTGCCCAGAGCCACATCCAGCCTGGCCTTGGATGCCTGCAGGGATGGGGCATCCACAGCCTCCTTGGGCAGCCTGTGCCAGTGCCTCACCACCTTAATAGGCCTTGCATTACACAACAAGAGCTCTCTGTTGACCGAGTTTGTCATAATTTTTCTGCATGTAAAACGAGTCCAAACATATCAGTGTATTCCCTGACACTTTGTGGTGGGAAATTGATGCAGTGCAGAGAGTTTTCTCTGGGACAGACGTAGCAAACATTGCAGTTCTGCTGTTGTGCTGGGTTGTGGTGGGCTGGAGGAGTGCCCTGGTGTGCAGGAGTGCAGTGCAGGGTGTTCCTGTTCTCCATCAGCAGTACTTTCTCTTCAGAAGACTTTGCTGCTACTTCTTAAATGCTGAAAATATTTGTATGTTGATGTACAGCTCTTCACAAAACTGCTTTCTAAAAACAATTATTTCTTTTCTCTCTTACATGGTTATTAAACATACGTGTTTCCAAGAGCTTCAGGGCATTAGGAAATATCTGGAAATCTCTGGCTACTATTGCAAATATTTTCGAATACCTTATCAAAGCAGTAACTTTTGCAACAAAACCAGGAAACAATCTGGTTGGTTTTGTTTTTCCTTCAATTCCTGTTAAAATTTCTGGAGCATTTGCAAGCTTCTGACCGAGGCTCTGAGGTTTGAGCAATGTAACACCTCTGCAGGTGCTATCCATGGCTCAAAGACCCAACCAGCATAATTCGTATTATTCTGTTTGGTAGAGGTGATCTTTTCTTGCTGTAAAGACATGTAATATCACTGTGTAATGGCTCAGGGCAATGCTTAATAGAGCACAGCTCCCAATAGCTCTGTAGCATTCTGCTCTGTAAATGCTACCCTGCTGAATATGTATGTGAAGCTGAAGGTGAGGCTTTCCAATTGCCACTGATGTTTTCAGGCATTTTGCACCCAAACTGAAGCAATTAAGTTCAGTGCAGAGATTATGACTAGCTTCAGTGGGTTTTGAATGAGGCAATTTGTGCTTCAGTGTTTAATTATTCTGTGTTTGAGTTATTTCTCAGAGTGGAGGGCTGCAATTCCCAGCTTCTATCCTGCAGGATAGCACTGTACTCTAGCCTGGATGGGAAGACATGGGAAGGCAGGAGGCTGCCAAGGGAGGAGAGCACCATTGGTGTGCTGCTGTTGGTGATTTGGGTCCCACAGGTCCCCTCCCTTGCCCTCAGCCCTGCTTGTGGCAGTGATAACAGCTCCTGGAAAGGCCCAAATGGCTTTGTTTTGAAAACCTCCTGTAGGTCAGCATCCTTTTCTGAGTCACTTACCAAGTCAGCAGCAGGAGCCTGGAGCTGTTGGCAGCTCCTCCTCCCACTCGCATAAAAATCCTGTTTCTTCCAATTTATGCATGTGAAGACCCTCTCTCTTCACACAGGTGCTATGTTAAGAAGTCCCAGTGATGGACCTCCACACGTGCTTTTGGTAGACTTCACTGTCCAGATCTCTTGTACTCTTTTGATAGGCTCCAGGAGTTTGAGTCATCCTTTCTCATCACAAAAACGTTGCTGAATTCCCCTAATGTGTCATATTTCTTTGAGTATCCCTTCACATTAGAAGAGCTTCTGTTAATTTGCCTGGTACAGATGGCAGTCACTGATACATGGTCTCCTCAGTGTGTCCTGGAATGATGCAGAAGTTATTGTGACGTTGCTTACAGGCTTCCCATCACCCAGCACTGAGGTACCAAGTGTGATACATGCACGCTGTCTGAGCTTGTAACCCGAGTTCCATCAGCAGTTCTACTCTGTTCCTTTTTTTTTCCTGCTTTATTCTGACTTCTGCTTAAGACAAACCCTCCAGCTGACTCTGTGGGTGAGCACTGCAGCACGGGAGCTGGCCCAAACTCTGAATACAAATTAATTTAGATTTTCTGCTGTGACCTTTCTTTCGGAGCATTCCTTTTATATCTTTTCCATAGAGTCTGGCAGGTTTCCTGCTCCCGAGGTGCTTGAATAAAGATGTGTTATTACTTTTCATGCCTTTTTTCAAACATTTCTGAAGATGTTTTCTGTCCTTTTATAGCTAACCATTCTGCTCTGTTTTCCTTATTTGGATGTGTGTGCACAGTGGGATGGCACGTGCCAAATTTGCACCAAAGATAAATTGTCCTAAATGCAAATTGAGGAAGGTGGATGCACCGGAATGGATCATAGAACCAGAGAACCATTGCAGTTGGAAAAGCACAGTGAGCTTCCATTGCCCCCAGCCCTCAGTGCCACAACCCCACAGCCCTGGAACACCCCCAGGGACAGTGACCTCCCCACCCCTCCATCCCTGGGCAGCTGTGCCAGCACCTGACTGCTCTCTTTAGGAAGAGAAATTTCTCCCAGTATCCAATCTGAACCTTCCCTTCTGCAATGTGAGGCCTCATCCTAGAGATGCTTCCTAGAGATGTGCGGAAGGTGGATACCCACTATGGGGAAGGTGGGTGCACGCAGTGAGCACCTCCACCTTTCCTTCCTGCTCCTCAGTGTGCATAGTCTGTGTGCTTGTCAGCTGTTCAGTGTTACCCAGGTAGGTGCTTTGTTCTGTGCAGTCCGTCTAGGGATTTTCAGCAGCTGTCAGTGGATGTGGCAGCAGCTCTGGTTTTGGTGCTATAAACACCTGTGAGTACATTTGCAC